ACGTTCAAAACAATGCATTGCGTTAGCACTTGCGTTGACATATTATTTTCGATTTCCCACTGCAGAAGATAATTTACAACGCAATGATACTCAAACACCCACACGTGAAGAACTTGATCAACTACTGTCAAACATTATTCCAGAGTTCTCTGATATGATAGAACAAGAACTGGAAAGATTTTTTAACACAAATAATTTTGTGTTTCCAAAGGGAGTTGCCATTAATCAAGCCGTATGTTCATTTCCTTTGAATCGTTTCATTATATATAAAATTGTTATTGTTTTCCTTTTCATTAAAGGTTCGTGAACATATCTTCTCGATTGTTGTCAGTATCGCTACCCGAACACCATTATGCGTCATCGGTGAATCTGGTGAGACTCTATGTTTTTCTCTCTTGATAACATTCAATTAGTGTTATACTGTAATTAGGACAATCGAAAACGCTGTCGTTTCAAATTGTTCTTCAGAATCTTCAAGGAGTACAACTATCGATGAAAACATTTTGCAAACGTTTGCCTGCCATTGATCCTTTCTTTTGTCTCGGATCAAAATACATTCGTGCGGAAGACATTGCACATGTATTTGAACGTCATGTCAGACGTGAACAATAATATGAGCAGAATGCAATGAACATACGATACGTGAGTTATTTTGATTCAACAGTTGTAGACCTCGAGATAGTGTCAACTTTTGCACAGTTATAAGAAGAATATACTTGAGTAGTAATATGCCGTATCTTCTCATTTGCGAACATGAATATAAATTTACGATTTGAAATTATAAAATTCAACTTTATTTTTTGTATGAAAATTAAATTAATTTTTGAAATTTCAGTACATAGCGTCATTTTTAAAATTAAAACTGATCTATGTACTTTTAGTTTTAACTAATTGCAATTTGTAGAGTACGCTAGATATCTTTATTTCATTTTTCTTTTTAAATAACTGCAATTTATAGAGTTCGCTCAAATCTACTGCCAAAATATTTGCAGCTAGTGCTTTTTTTTTTAAATAATTTTAATTAACCAACACCTAAATATTAGTCCAAAAAATGCAGCACAGTATAGAATGAAGTATAACAGATCGTAATAGTTCAACAATAATATATGAAAATCAAAAAAACAGAGAAAAGCTTTTCGAAATGTTTCTTTGATTCAAAATAAAATTTCAGTTTTATGTAAATTACAATCATTTTTTCACACCCTTGCTCGAGGATTATCAGTCCAGTTTAATTAACCATAAGAAACTTTTCAGTTTGATCTCAGTGGTTATCATCTTTTTCACACTTACAGTGTGCAGAAATCTTTTACTTTGTTTTAAAATAAAGATCTTTACTCATCCAAAACTCACGTTCTCTACAAATCACCGAAATTTTTCAACTTCTTTTAAAACGAAAAACTTTACTGATACAAAACTTACGACCTCTACAAATTGCAGAAATCTTTTAACTTCTTCTAAAACAAAAAATCTTTTCTCATCAGTAAGTTGCATCCTCTACAAATTGTAGAAGTCGTTTGACTTTTTTTAAGACGAAAAAATTTACTCATCAAAAACTTGCATCCTCTACAAATTGCAGAAGTCGTTTGACTTTTTTTTAAGACGAAAAAATTTACTCATCAAAAACTTGCGTCCTCTACAAATCGCACAGATTCTAATTAGTTAATACAAAAGATTTTAAACTAGAATTTTTTTTGAAAAGTTTCATCGTGACATTTCAAACTAACAAATTCATAAAGTGTATTATCAATTGAAAATTTAAAACAGTTTTACTTTGTTTAAACTTCATTTTATTTATGTTCGCAAATGAGAAGTAGCCGTATCATGTCCGTGATCGGAAGGTAGAGCTCCATTTTCGGATCAACTAGAGCGTGGACGAAAACAGAACCTATTTCCATCTGGTTATCATGGCAATAGGTGAGTTAGCCTTCGTGTTTCTTTATGTTTTATATACCATTTTGTAGCTCGTAAAATTCTCTATCGAATGGTATATAATAGTTGGGGTTTTGTTTGAGTATGGTAGGAAAAGTTTTTTACGAAAGCGGGGATGGGTCGATTTTCGCATAGGAAGCCATAGGAAAAAATGAGTATTTTTGCAATAACTCAGGAATAGTTCGGCCAATTCTTCTCATCTTCGAACTCAACCAAGACATTGTTAAGACTGAACTGTGTAGAAAATTTCATCGCGATTGGACTCGCCTTTCAAACGTTATCGTGTTAACGGCCGGCCGGACGCACTGACCGATTTTAGAGTGTACTCACTTTTTGAGTACACAAAAGAAGAGTCAATCGAACGGCAATATGTTCTAATAGAAAATTATTCTCACTATGTATGCGTATAATAAGGATTCATAAAAGCTTGGATTTAAATGAGAATTCAACAAGTCATATCGAGAAGTGCGACTTGTATTTGATTAACGAATATGAAAAAAATAATACTTTGTATTATTCAAAAATGTTTTCATAACAATAGTGCGATGGTATTAACGCAACACTATCACGAAATCTTTATATCAAACAATTTTAAAAATAACTATTGCGGTCAGATTCAAAAATCTATTTAGTTATCAACAAAAATATTTTACACCATCATATCTATTGGCAGTACCTTTTTAAATATAAGAACTTATTTTTATTTTGCATCATATCAATCGTATTTTTAAGATATAAAAAAAAATTTAACATACAGGTCTAAAAACATATGATTTAGAAACGATGGCATAGCGAAAATTTTATTTTATATGATTTTTTGACTCAGACCAATGATTTCGGCAGGCTCTAGCTGTAAAGACGTCGTTTCCAGGCTGAAGATAACGGAAAATGGTAGAGACGCGAAAGTAAGAATTCGATGGTCGGATTTGTCTAATTCTGGTTGTAAGCAACCAGAGCCGATCACGTTGACCTGGGCAAACAGGACTGTCATAGAAAATCTGTACTGTAGATTCACATTGCAATATCATTTTCTGTATCTTTGGTTATTTTCTTTAATTGGAACTAATTTGATTAATCTCAAAATATGATTAATAGGATTGATGACATTGTTTGATTTAGTAATGATTTATTTAATACATTTTCACATTTATTATCACTCTCATTAAAAAAAACTCGATAAGATAAACGTCTCATTATTGAATGACTTATGCTTATGACTTCATTCGATAAATCAATGTTATCATACAAACTGATGAATTCATATTGGTAATTACAATACAACGCTTTTTCGTATATGCAACAATTCTCTTCATTTCATATGAAATGAGGGATTAATAAAAATTAGTTTTTTTTTTTTATAATAAATAATCGATTTATATATTTATGTACAAAATATAAAATTATTTAAAATACGAAAAGAGTTTTTCATGAATTTTTTTCCGAATAAACCAACGAAAATAACATATACAATATTTTATATCAATTGGATTCAATTGTTTTCGTAGTTCAGTGAGAAACCGAATATAAGTAAGATATGGTAAATGATCATTATGACTGTAATTTAATTGTGTATTTAATAATTGATAAGTCGCTTCACTGTTTGATTGACATCGTTCATATAATGTAATTAAAGAACGACCATCGAATTGTTGTTCACTTTCAAACAAAGGTTTCATAAGTTCTAAATTCTTATCATGTAGAAAATTTAAAATATCTTCATGCGTCCACAATTCCATATAACGACAATTATAATCGTTGTTATCATTTGAAACATTATCCTATATATATATATACAATTCTTTTCAATCAAATATATCATATTAATCTTCTGAATACTTCATAATTTTGAGTGTTTACAATAGAAACTTATCTTAGTTTGTTTCTTTTGCTCTCATTCAATATTTCGGCAAAGAAAATACATAATGCCCCTGCTCTAAAAAAAAATGTCAATTGTCGTCAGAAAAATATGAAATGGAATTTAGTTCAGTAATAATACCCACGGAAAAATTCTTCCGAAAAAAACCGCGGTAATCTGAGGTTAACCGCGGTTTTATTCTACATTTTGAAAAACCGCAAAAGTCAGACCGTTTATGCGGTTTTTTGAAACCGGCGAAAATCGCGGTTTGCAAATACCACGGTGAGAACCGAGAAAATCGCGGTTAGACCTGCAAAAACTCAGCTCGGATCGCGGTATTTGTAAACCGCGGTTTTCGCCGGTTTCAAAAACCGCATAAAAGGTCTGACTTTCGCGGTTTATGAAACCACGGTTTTTTCTTGAAAAATTTTCCATGGGTAGTACTTTGATTATGTTGAAACTTTCTAGAATTTTGCAAAGCATTCAATGAATCTAAGATGCCTACTGAAGATCCTAACTACTAATATAAATATTGCTTGTGAAATAATAAACATATCAACTATAAAAATCATTATATTTTCGATGCTGTACCGAGATGTTATTCTGTTTACGCTTTTCGGATTGTGTATTTCAGAATTCTTGCAGGATCTTCATTATAACCAAGTGGTTTTGTTTGAAATATCATACAAATCAATTTCATCATCTTTCTCTACATGAAAAGTAAGCATTTTATAAAGAAGGGCTCTGCCAGTCATTACAGTCTGGTATGTTCTTTTAAATAAAAAGAAAATTAAATCTATAGAATGAGAGGGGACAGACCATTTTGGGATGTCAAATAAGCTGTTTTCGACCTTTGTTTGTTAATTATTTTTCTTAAACGTCACGACATAAGACTAAAAACTCAATCATTGTCTTTCCATTACATTTTCAACATATTCTGAAAATTTCATATGATTTAAATATGCAGAACGCCACATCAATTATTGAGCGATAAGCTTAACTGTTTAATACATTAATTTAGATCTAGAGTAAAATTCATACTTGTTCTTCAACTTGAGAGATCTGTTCAGTATTATTTGCGTAAATTTCAATCGTTGGTTGAGTTCCATCATCATGAGTAAGTGGTTTGTTATTTTCATATTTTATTATTGACGATGATGAATTTGATAAAGTTTGTTGTCGATGAAGTTGAATTTGTGATATTAATTTTTGAAATGCTTGTTCAAAATCAGTTTTAGTAAAATCAACATAAAGTTTCGATGCACAAATAAATCCTAACCATCCATCAGGTCGATATTTCTTTTCCATAATTAATGGTATAATATGACGTTGACGTGTATATGCATATTCAGCTTCTGATCGACAATAAGCACTTTGTTTATATGGATTTGACATACCAATAAGAATAATATCGGATGCTTCAATAGCTTGTGCCATCGATTGAAGTGTACTTCCATACATATTTTCAAAATCAAGCCAAACAGTATATTGTAAATCAATTAAATTTCGATAAATTTGATGACATAAATCTTTATTTAAATGACTATAACTTATCATAATATCATATTTTTTATCACAATTATTATTTTCATGTATATCAACAATAGTCTTTTTATGATTAGATTCACTTTCTAATTTCCATAAAATTCCTTTAGTAGCTGCTTGAACACCTTCTTCTTTTGAATTAATAAGAATATTTTTTAAATAAATAAAAAAATTTTCATAATTATTTATTAACATATCATAAATATGATTATTAAATGTTAATGACCAAATAATTTCTAATGAAATTTGTAAAACTAAACCAACATGAAGATCTTTTTGTGTTACACATCTTATTAATATACTAAAATAATTTTGTTTTACTATTTCTTGTTTTATTTCATCATGTTGAATACATGCTAAATGTATAAAATTTCATTAGATCGAATAATTATTAACAAAACATCGATAGAATTCAATTGAGGAATATTTATATTAATTAACTTCTTATGCACAACAGGATATATTTGTATAGGTTCGATTTCAAAGTGACTTCTCGATAGCTCACTTATATCTGATGCAATTATCAATTTTATTAGATTAATTTATTGAAACTTTGCGAAATTAAAGTGCATTTTTAGAAAAGATTATTTTGTGTTATGATATTTTTCCTATAAATCTAATTTTAAAATTTTCAAAAGTCATACAAACAAAGATTACTTTTAAATTTATTGATTTTGAAAAATAAAAGTAACTTAATGTTTCAATCGGCTATTTTCATTCGCTAATACTTTGCAGCTGTATTTACTATATGTAGATCTTCATTGTGAAAATACTCTGAATTGTTAAATGCATGAAAAACAATATATGTTCAATTTATAAAGAAAAAAATAATGTTTTCTTCTATCAACAATAAGTCTTATTTTTTTATAAAACCTCAATATGAATTATAGTTTTTACTAATAAGAAAAAAAAGCTGTTAGCGTGATCTCTGTGGTTTTAAAATGTGAATCACGATAGACCCATTCTTGCTAAACTCATTAAAATTGGTCATTTCTGTCTGGACTCGTGCACATTCCGCGTGACACGACACTTCCGCGCCGACATTTCCGCGCACGACAATTCCGCGCAGCGACATTTCCGCGCTCGACACCACCGCGCAAGACGAAGTGTTCTATTTTTTCTGCTTTAGGTTAATGCATCTTCGAAACTTCCATTAATAGATTTGTGAGTCTGGGTTCAGGCGCAGAGTGTGTGTGGGTGCGGAGTATGCGTAGGGCAATTCGGTAAAAGTTCGGAACTGATGAACTGCTTGTAAAAGTGATGTGACCTTTTTTGACAGTTCAGCGCAGATGAAATGAACTGTTCAAAGAGTTCTTCCGACCTTAGGTGAACTGCTCAAGGAGTTCTACTCAGATCGACACCTGATTGAGGAAGTCATCTGATGAACCTCACATGTTTTGAAAGATAGATTGTTTTTATGGAAAACTACAATGCTGACACTGACACTTGGAATGCTAGAGGCATCACCTGAATCGCTAGAGACATCGCGTGGATTGCTAATAGTATTACCTAGAATGCTAAAAGCATCACAAGGATGCTGGAAGCCTCACTTGGGTTACTGTAGGCATAATCTCGGATAGCACAGGTATTACTTGGGTTGTTCGCAGCGGCGTAAGTGATGCCCTTTACTTTCCATGGGACACTTATAGCATCACATGCAATATAATCAGCATCACAGGTGATGAGCTTAGCAGCCTAGGTGATGTCTCTGGCATCCCAGTGATGCTACTAGCATCTCATGTAATGCTAGTGGCATCGTAGGTAGTGCTTTTGGCATTACAGGTATCGATGTGACTGTGGGTGTGGACTCAGGCTGTGAAGTGCGCGTGTGGCTTGATGTGGATGTGCGCTCATATGTGGGCCTGGAATTCAGATGTGGTTTCTGGAGTGAATTTGGATGTTGGGATGTGGTTGCAGGCACTAGAGCCCCAGTTGCCTTCGTTCCATTCCAACACTCACACTGAAACTCTGCAGCCTCACTAGCAGAATAGTTAATAAAATTTTAGAAGATGTATTAACTTAACACAGAAAAAATAGAAAACTTCATTTAGCGCGGAAGTGTGGGGCGCGGTGGTGTCACTGTGCGGAAGTGTCGTGCGCGGAAATGTCGGCGCGGAAATGTCGCGCGCGGAAATGTCGTGTAATCTTTTCGTTCTATAGGTAATAACGTCTTGGTTGATTAAAATGTATGTTGTGAATGACTGTTTTTACATTAAATGTCAGGTTTCAATTCTATCAGCATTCATAAAAAGAAGCGAATTTTTCTACAGGAAAGAATAAGCGGTGTGATGAAGGTAAAATTTTTGAGGCTGAAATTAATAGAAAGTTTTTATATCCATTTCACCGTATAACACATGATTTCAATTTACAAACATACCTTAGTTCGTTGTTGATCGGGATACAGTAGATAGTTCATTATAGGAGAATGTAGAGGTGTTGAATATAAGATTGATATAAAACGAATAGAAGTTATCTTAGCTATAGGGAGCTTAAATCAGTGTAATAGATGTGGAAGGTCAAAGAACCTATAAATAAACGAGGAATCCTACGAGGGCTAACGTACATAAAACTTCACACGTACATCATTGCATCAAGTAAGGGTATCAGAAAAGGACTTTCATCTGCCATGTCCAGCTCATAGTAAGACTTTCAATGCAGTCGAGCTGATATGTGTGAAGTAACTGATGTTTGAGGAATCGCTACTTACGAAAACTTGACATTCATATTAGATGTCTGATCACGTCCATGTGCTACGTTCTGCCTCAATCATTTCATAAGATTCATATCTCTGATCGTATCTGTTCTAATATACACGACCTTTCGCAAAAAAGGTAGTATCGTCTGATGTAAGACTTCTGAGACGATTGACTTTTGTCTAATTTTTGTAAGATTAGGTTCATGATCGAAAGTCTGACCTGCAGATGACAAGATCTGATATCAGGCTCTTCGACCTGTGTACACTTTTATTATAAAGAAGACTAGTGACTTATTGACAAGTTCAAATCATCTATCTCATCAATTTCACACATCTACAGTATCGTATAAGTAATTTATCTTCAAGTGTGTAATGTAAGAATCGCCATGGGTGCGAATGTAGGTGTTGGCACAGGCTAAACCACTATCCAAACCAACACCTACTCCCGATTCAAGGAGCATAATTGACATTTCTTCAGAAATCGGGCAAGCCACATTGCGAATTTCTAATTCTCGATAATCCATGCGCTGGACCATCTTGCATAAACTCTTCATTTGATAGAGCGACCTCGATAATAATAGGACTACCCGGAAGATCGCTAGTAGCTATGCAAAGAATAAGAAGGAAAAGGGATCTTGAAATCTGATTGGTCGATTATCAACGAATCTGAGGTTGCCATTGAAGCATGGATTAGTGTAAAACAGATGATACTTCTAGCATTCGAGGTGTTATTTGCAACATACTAACTGTAGAATACAGAGGTTTTAGATTCAAACTGACGTAGTTAGGAGCTCAGTTTTTGGAGATCGTGGCACTTTTAGAATCGAGGAAAATATGGAGTTGAGGTACTTGGTAAAATACGCACTAGTGTGAAGTGAGCATCGTACTTGGAGTTCGCTTTATTGGACCGCCTTTCAGGACCTAGAAGTGTCTCCATTGAATAGCTCTCACAAACTTACAACAAGTGGTAATTAAGATGAATACTAACTAATTTGTGTACCATGTTAGCAATTAGCATCAATCTTTGTAACTATATGTTGTCTTAGTATCGCATTTCATATAGCATAGCCGGCATGCTTTTGGTCAAATATGGATGTGTAAGTGATCTCCCAATTTCGATTTTACGTATAAAATTTATTATTTTGTTCGACTAAAGTTTGTAACGCTTTAAATAAATTTTGTTCTTTCTAGTATACTCTCCAAGTAGTAGAATTGTGTAGGCTTTTTTGAAGGATTATCCTGTGAACTGCATTTATATGTCCAAAAGCAAACAATATATTACCGATATTCTTCTGATTACAGTTTCGTTAACGAATTTGGCAGAACAGTTTGGCATTTATGCGCTACAGAGCCTGGATACTAAGAATGATGAATATGAAAAAGCATTTTTCTTCATATTGCTTGGTGTTGATTCACTTGATGTGTTTCAATGCATATTCAAGAACGAGTGAGGCAAGATCATTTTGGCTATGTTTGTTGACACATGCGGGTTAATATGTTATGTAGCAGTTCTCCATCGAACAGTCGCTTTATTTCTGGTTGCATTTTTAACCTATTTTTTTGAATTGTCATTGAATGGAATCCTTCTTCGGCTTTGTTGGAAAAGTGACAACGGTGACGACAAAAAGAGCGACGATGGATGGCGTTGGAACTGTTTTTCAAAACACACACTTCGCTGAATTGCTTACGCTGCCTTTCAACTGCCACAACTCTTGTTTCTTTTCCTTCAGCCGGAATCGAAATTTCGTGAAACTTACTATGAAATTATAGCCATCATCACTTTGTACCTTGGAGGACTGTGTTATGACTACATTGAACCTATTATCGAGTACGCACTCGAGAAAGGGAACAAGTTAGATGAGTCCGCGCTAATTCATGCTTTCAAGAATATTTTTAATGCTGAGGATACTATTATAGATGATATCGCAGACGTGATTAAAATCTCTGCTACCGGTATACTAGGAATATTCGTATTTCCTATCACAACAATCATTTTGGCCAGCATCGAATTACGCTATAATTCGGAAGCTTTGCCATCCTATGACAAAGGCGTCTACATTTATTTTCTTATTTTCAATACTCTTTGGTATTTATTCCTAATAGTGATTGCAACAATCATCTTAATAGTCTGGCGTCGCAAAAAGTAAGTCTTAAGGGTGGTGACGGTTTATGGATATCGAATTATCGCAGTACTAAAATTTATTATTTCGATTATACAAAAATAAAATCTAATCAGGTGATTGTAACATTTGTTCTATTGATTCGATTTTTGTATAAAATCAAATCAAAACAGGATACGTATCAATAATTATTTGATTGCGAAATGAACGACGAAAATAGGTCTACTTCTCAAAAGCTAGCAGGTCGCATTTCGATTACCGCTACGATGATATTCTCAAATACTTCTGGTGATTTGACGGAGTATAGAAATTTTGTCTATATAAAAAGATATAGCGGCTACAATTGATCCGTTGCGTCTATTTTTACATACTACGCCCTCTCCCTCAAAAGAAAGTCAATTTACGTGAGAACTATCGAAATTGAGATAAATACATGAGGAAATAGCCCGTCGCCTGCTCTTTCGAAATTCATAAAGATCTTTCTTGAAAAGTTCATTTTTCTTAGAAACTCTTCAGGGCTTAAGAGACCCAGTCTTTGAAAAAAACAGCGTTGTTTTTTTTTAAATTTCCAAAAATCTTTTTCGTTTTCTCGAATGCGCATCCCAAATTTCTCTTTAATGGTCCGTCCAATTTATTAATATTTTTTTTGTTTAAAAGAGCGCGCCAAGATGTAGCGCACTACATCGCCGTTTTTTGAAATACTCTCTACAGTAAATATGAAGTCAGAAATATAATTTGACTACCATTTTTTGACAAATTTTTTAGTTATTGAACTTGTGACCTCTGCTCTTGGATTAAAAAAGAAGTATTTAAAAAAAAAGGCGACGCAGTTTCCTGCATCTTGGCACACTTTTTCAAGTCAAAATAAAATATTAATAAACTGGACTGATAATTAAAGAGAAATATAGGATGCGCATTCGAGAAAACGAAAAAGATTTTTGGAAATTTAAAAAAAAACAACGCTGTTTTTTTCAAAGACTGGGTCTCTTAAGCCCTGAAGAGTTTCTAAGAAAAATGAACTTTTCAA